GGCAACCTCTGCCCTGCATTCCCCGCATGCCCCCCACCCCGCAGCGCAGTGGCAATCTCTGCCCTGCATTCCCCAGTCACATCTTTCACCTGGTCCCTGCCGGACACTAGCAGGAGCCTGTGCCCCGTGATCCCATGCGGTGCTGCCTGGGTAGGAGGCAGGGAGCCCGGGCGGTCAGTGCCCCCACATCTGTGCTTGAAGAGCCCGGTGGCTGTTAAGAGCACAAGCAGGCAAGCCAGAAGCCAGTGGTGAGCTTCCTAGACACGCTGGCCAGGGGGGCTAGGGATTTGCAGACACTGGTTTTCTAATCGGGCACTGATCAGAGAATGCAACGGGGATTCTGACCCTGCCTGTTATTAGAGATGCTTATTAGTAACATTTTCAAAGTCACATTTATTTGTCACATTTTCATTGTAAGAAAATACCCCATAATGGCACCACAGAAGGAGATGATGAAATCAGGAAAAGTCTGTCTCTAAGGCTGGTCGTTGAGCTGCATCGGGGGTTCATCTGAGCCCCAGCAGGAGGGGAGCCACAGGCTGGGGCTGACAGAGCTGATGTCACTAAAGTCTGAGAATGGCTGGGGCTCAAGGAGCCCTGACTGGTGGCAGGTGACAACCGTGACACAGAGGGAGGGGTTTGGGGCATTGGTGGGCCATGTAGAGCAGCAGAGGCCAGCACGAGATGGCTCAAGGCTGCCCTGGAGGTGGTGGTGAGGAGCCTTGTGGAAAACCCTCCATGGCAAACGTCGCCGGGGCCCAGGGCAGGAGTGAATCTGTGCACAGCGCCTGGTGAGAAAAGGCTCGTCCGCAGCCATCCTAGAAACCCCCAGAAATAGGTGGACCGGAGCCCCGGCATCAGCAAAGGGGCAGGAGCCGGCGCTGAACCCAAGTGGCGTGTCCTGGGAAACTGGAAGCGGGTGTTGCCTCTAGGGAGCTTTCTCCACCAAAGAATGTCCTCCAGAAACTAGGTTGGGGGCTGATTTTGGTTGCCCTTGTTGGCTGTGAAGGGAAAATGGGTTGAGTTGGACCCCAGGCGGCCGAGGGACTCCAGGTCTGGCCTGGAAGAGAACAGGCCTATCCGTTGTCTGTGCACTGCTCCCGGCCTCACTGTGTGCGGCTGTTCCTTCCCCTGGGCTTCGGTATTTTCTTTCCCCGTGGCATTACGCACG